ACTTTCCGGGTAATATGTATTACTTCTCATCAATTTGTACTCCCTCATCAATGTTGATTGTGTCTATTTGCCCTGAGGTGGGGTTTTTTTCCTGTTTATTTCCCTGTCCATACTGCTTAATGCCAATAAAGGTTTATTGTATCGTAGTGATGCTGCTGAAACTTACTGTTGCCTTGTGATGTTGAACTTTCCTCTACCCCACTTTCCGGGTAATATGTATTACTTCTCATCAATTTGTACTCCCTCATCAATGTTGATTGTGTCTATTTGCCCTGAGGTGGGGTTTTTTTCCTGTTTATTTCCCTGTCCATACTGCTTAATGCCAATAAAGGTTTATTGTATCGTAGTGATGCTGTCCCCTTGGCTCTGACACTGTAGCTCTGATCTCTTGTAGTTTGACGTTACAGCAAGCACCGAACTTAGGCTGTAGCACGGGAGGGAGTAAGACTGTTTGTGAGGCCAGGCCCTCCGTCGCTCTTTTAGGGCCTCCCCACTCACCCCACCCGCAACCTGGCAGCATAGCAGAAGTGAACTAAACAATGCAAAGCCATCACATTGCCTGATTGTGGAAGCATGTCAAGGACCCATGGTGGGCCATCAACGGCTTCCAAAGGACACAGAGTCTTGTCATCATCGCACTGATTTTTTCTGCTCATTTTCTGCCATCAACAGCTTCCAAAGGACACAGAGCCTTGTCACCCTCCCACTGCGGTTTTCTGCTTGGACTGCACCACCCTTCCATTTCCCTCAAACTCCTAATTGCTGTTCTCCTGCTTCTCATCAATGCTGTGGATGGGGGCCCTATTACTGGCCAATTTAAAAAGCAATTGATCTGCAGGCTGGCCTGGGAGAATCTGGACAACAGATTGGAGAATTTAAATCACTGAGCAGCAATCAACCTGCTGGCTAGGATTAATGGCACACTTCAACCATTATCTTCCCCATGGTGCATTTATTTGAACACCATGTGATCTAACACAACCTAGCAGTGTTTTCCAGTCAGAAAATACATTAGGGCACAGAGTTACACAGGCCCATTTATTTTCACTGATTTACTATGGCTAATTTGAGGTCCTAAGCATTCAGGCAGGACTTTCCTGCCCCCTCCAATGATTCTATATGCAGTGTTGGCTTTATATCATCGGTACGGTGTTCCTGTTAACAGGTTCCTGCTCTTTCTGCTGCCTTCCAGAACTGGAAGCTATGCCAAAGAGCCAGTTCAAGGTGCCCGGCAGTTCAGCTTCACTGCTTTTTAAGTCAATGGTGTTTTAATATCATTATAACTTGTTAGATGAATGTTAATATTATAGCCTTTTGCCTTTTTATAAAAGCACTCCTCTTTTAGCCTGCTTGGGAGCGACCTTCAATCCCAGAGCCAGAAGAAAAGTGGGATATAAATCAAGTAAACAAACACACAGCCAGGTGGCCGTTGGAGGATGTGGCTCATCTTCACAATCATAGGAAAATTATGATCTTGAAACCAGTGGGATTTCTACTTGTGCAAGGAGGCACCAGATGCCCCCTTAAAGAAGCTCCTGGAAAGTGGAATGGCTCACGGAAGGGACCACGGTATGAGTGGACCATGTTCCACAGGATTCGGACACTGGGTCTTGGCCACAAACTCTACAGTAGGTGGAATGAGGATTATTGAGGTTGGGCAGGAAGTTGCAAGCATGAGACAAGGTGGGACCTGGAAATCCTCTCCTCGCGCTCCTCCCGTGCCTAACTTCCAGGCCACACGGACACTCCCCTTCATCCGGGGTGGAAATGATGCGCCATGTGCAAGGCTGCCCTGCTCCATATGCAGCAAAGGACATCTTTACTCTTTTCACATCATCGGGGAAGTTTACATGAAAGCAACAGGTTCTGACAGGTTTCCTCCTCCATGACTTTTCTCTGGAAACTATGACTCCAGTAGCTGAGTTCCTCGCTAAGGTGCTCACTCTTCAAACCTCAAAAAAACTAACCTAACTTCTCCTACTACTTTAATTTATTATCGGATTCTATGTTTTAACTGTTTTATGCCAATAAAGGTTGCTTTGCTTTAAAGCAACAAAAAAGAGTAACATGAGAAGGAAACTTAGTATGTCGGGCTCCTGGTCCTTGGAAGTTCCACAGTGAAGAGACATGACTCTGGCCGTCCCTGCTACAGACCGGACCAGGAATCGGCTGCGAGTTCTCTGTGGGCCAGGATCTAACAGGGTTCTTTGGTCAGAAAGATCCGGAGGGAGCAGATCCTTTTCTCCCTGCACCTCCCCTCCAAATGCATGCTCAAAATTTTGTCTGGCTGGTTGGGAAGGCCTCCAAAGTTACTCTGCAAGCACCGTGGTTGTCTACCTGCCATGTCAAGGAAGACGGTATGCCCTGTTTGCAGCTATGGAGCATTACTAGAATGATGTTGAATTTATGCCAGTAATGTCAGCATAAGCTTGGCCAGCAAGCAAAAAGAGGCAGGCAGACAGGCCGGAAGGAAGGAGCTGATGATGGACAGATGGAAGGAAGTACTGTAAGGAGCTGATGATGGATAGAAGGAAGAGGGAAGGAGATGATAATGTAAAGAAGGAACGGAGGAGGGAAAGAAGGAAGCAAGGATGTGAGGAAGGAAGGAAAAAGCCAAAGAGGGAAGGAAGGAAGGAACTGATGATGGATAGAAGGAAGGAAGGACATCTCTTAATTAATTTGTGGTGAGTTTGCACCTCCTGGGAAATACCTTTATTAGGCTACCCAAAAACTCCGTGCAAATGCTCAGGAGCTTTCGAGACCCTCCAATTCCTTCACCAGGCAAAATGTTACAAAAATCAAGCAAGGGAAAGGATCCTGGTCTTAGGCCCTCGTGGCCTGTATTGGAGTCTTTTGATTAATGGGTGATGATGAGTGGATGGACAATGGGCTCCCCCAAGTCATGTGATGAGGTGTGACGTCACTTGAGGCAGCCCCCACACCTTTCAAAACCTTTGTTTCTCCACCTTAAATCAAAGAAATCCTTAGAGGCAATGAATGGATAGTGGCTTATCTTTTTGTTTTGAATCTCTTCCAGGAGGACTACATTCCTTATCCCAGCATTGATGAGGTAGGTGCTAAGAAAACATTCAAAATGGTGAGTTGGAAGCTATTAAAATGCTAGCTAGGAAAGGACTTGGTGGGCTGTTTCCCTGGGAAAAGAGACGGAAAGAGATGAAAGAGGAAAGCATCATAAAATTTGAGTTTAAAAGAAGGTTTCTTAGGGTGGGGATTATCAATTAAAAAACAACAACAACCCACAATACAGTGGTGCCTCACTTAGCGATCACTCCGTTGAGCGACGAAATCGCTTAGCGATGGTCCCTATGGGGAAAATTTGCTTTGCAATGATCGAATTAAAAGGAAGATACCTCCAAATACCAGAGGCATCTGGTATTTGGAAGAGGGGTATCAGGAGACATGGATCTCGTGTGCTCCCAGAGGCATCTGGTGGGGCCACGGTGAGATACAGGAAGCTGGACTAGAGGGGCAATTGGCCGGATCCAGCCCAGGGCTCTTCTGAGGTTCTTATGTTCTAGCCCACATGGGGTTTGAGTAGAAGGCACCGTTCCCTCCGAGGGAACCACAGAGCCATGGTACAGCGTATGCTTTGTACATGGTAGGTCCCCGGTGCAATCTCTGGCATGTTTTTTTCAGAAAGGATCTGGTACAAGTTGGTGTAAGCAGGATGTATAGCTCAGGGATCTGGATACTGGAAGTGATGTCGAACAGTGGTCCCCAACCTTTTTGCCTCCATGGATCGATTTAGCATGCAAAGCCAGTTAATCCGTACTCTACCATTAGGGGTGATTTTTTAAATTTTTTCTTCTTTTGACCTAAGATGAACTTGTCAAACAAAGGGCAGGAAAGGTTTTTTTCGTTCGTAAGTCGAAGCTCCATTCGCAAATCGAAGCAACATTTTGCAAACAAAGCCATTTGTAACTCGAAATGTTTGCAAGTGAAGACGTTTGTAAGTTGAGGTACCACTGTATTAGTTTAAGGACTATGTGGTCAATATGGGACATGTGTGTCCCTTTTTCAAAGATAAACTCATCAACCAAGGGCATTTATTAATTCTTTTGAAAGCTGATTGTTCCCTGTGTAACTTGAATATTTATAAGTAACCTGGACCAAATGACTGATTTGCTTTATCAAGGGTGATTTTAACAGTTAATGTATTCTCGAAGGCTTTCACAGCTGGGATCTGATGGTTGTTGTGGGTTTTTTGAGCAACCTTCTGAAGGTTGTTCTTCCTGACGTTTCGCCAGTCTCGGTGGCCGGCATCTTCAGAGGACTGGAGTCAGAAATGAGCACCAGAGCACAGACAGAGGTCGGACTCCTTTTTAAATCAGTAGAACTTATGGAGGAGTTGACTCACCAAATAACCACTGATTCAGTGGTACTACTCTGCTTGTCACTGACTAGGCTAAACAACAGGATTTCACCCATCTCCTGCCCCATGTTTGTTTCTGTGTCCTAAGCACAATTGTTTTTGAGCTTTCCCCAGATTTAACTGAGACTGTGAACTGACGCTGGAGGAGTCCCAATAGTTATTATTTATTCCCCAAAATGCATTCTTATTATAGAGTTAAGTACACATTGTAGAACTCTATACATCCAACAGAATCACTGTACTTATTCAGGCAAACGTATTCTGTTTGTATTTGGGATTTTAAAAAAACAGAGGCAGAAAGACTTTTCAACACACCCCAGTGCTTTCATTTTAATTAGCATATTCTCCAAGATTCCAATGACATGTGGCAAAATTGAGCCACGTGTGCATGCCTGCATGCATTGCACGGTGAAACCAGAGGCCGTACGTTTGCTGAGGAGCTTACACCACTTTCTGCTAGCCCTTTGCTAACGGTCATTTTTAGAGCAAGGAGCAAATATGACACAAGTGATCGATCTCCAGGGATGCCATACCATCAAAGACTTCCAAACCATTAAAGGATTTCCGCTCTATGGAAAGAGGCGTGCCGCATGTGAAACCTACTTACCAGCAGAGGGCAGTGACGGCCAACCTTTTGGCTTTGTCGTGCTGGAACTTCCATAGGGGAAGCAGCGTCCCCAGATTGTCCCGGTAGTCGTCAGAGGCGTCTTCAAAGTATTTGAAATCTGGCAGAGGGAAAGGATGGCATTCAAAAAGACCATGTGGCTCAACAGTGCCTTTCTCTCTGAAGAACTGCTTCCCCAAACTGTCTTAACTGGCACCCCTTAAGGAAAACATGAAGTCTTTTAAAATTCCTTTAAAGTTTTGAAAGTGTTTAAAATTTTTAATTTTTAAAAAAGATTTAGGTTTTTCGACATCACCGAGATCAAAAGGTGATGTTGTCCCCTTTGTGCCGTGAAGTTGCTTTCAACTCATGGTTGACCCAATGGATTGGTGACGTTCAAAAGGTCCTGCTCAGGTCTTGCAGGCTAAGTGCCATGGCTTCACTCGTGGGGTCAATCCACTTCATATTAGGTCTTCCTCTCTTATCTCCCACTTTCCATTTGTCCTAGCATTTTCACTTTTTCAGAGAGTATTGTCTTCTGTAATATATCCAAAGTGTAATGGTTTCAATTCTTCCCCCAATTTTAATTCCTGCATCTGAATCGAATTCAGTTTCTCATGTATTTTCTGTTGGAATAATAGCAATCTGGCATGCACTAAGACTGGGTATCAGTGAGAACGGGGCTTTACAGCCTAACATGATTGTTCCTCGCCACTCACATCATTGGTACAGTTGTTTTCCTGCCTCTGGCATTTCAGGCAAGCCCCTCCCCCTCTTCCACTATGGTTTGGACCCCATTGTTTGGTTGATAGCCCCTTCTTCTCTCGCCGAATATCCATCTCTTTTTTTTACCATACAAAGTGCTAGTTTGCGTGCAAACCAAGGAGGGTGTTGTTTGATGAGACTAGAGTGATCTTTCCATGTTTCTGTGTTTGTTTTTTCTACCTTACGCTATGCTAACTAAAAGTAATAACCAAATTTCTTTTCTAAAAAACCCTTTTATGGAATTTCACCAACATTTTCTGGTTACAGATTACGTGAGTGAAGCAAGGTATAGAATTTTTTATTTCTTCATTATCAGCTTTAAAAGTTATCTAATTCTTCTACTGATGTTAGGAAAGTGTGAAGGCAAGCGGAGAAGGGGACGACAGAGGACGAGATGGTTGGACAGTGTCATCGTAGCGACCAACATGAATTTGACCCAACTCTGGGAGGCAGTGGAAGACAGGAGGGCCTGGCGTGCTCTGGTCCATGGGGTCACGAAGAGTCGGACACGACTTAACAACTAAACAACAACAATTTTTCTACAGACATCATTTTTGTATTTCTAAAATTCAGCTGTAATCCTGCTCTCAGGGAATAATATGGTGTCAATAAGAAAAGCTTCAATGGATGACTAAAGCAGTTCTTAAAATTGTGAACAATAATTTTAGAAGCAAACTGAAGTGTGACAAAAATACTGTCAGAATCCTAAATGCAAGTTTTCAACAACTGGCACATAGGGACAAAGAGACCCGTTACAGTGCAAAAAGAGAGAAGAACAGAAAAGGAAAAACAAAGTACTTCTTCCATACGATCCAATATTTCTATTGGAAAATTTAAATCTAGATTAGGGACACAAAAAGATCAACGGGGGATTGTCTGATCAGGATAATATAAAAAGAAAACGCCAACCAAAGACTGAAGAAAATACAGAACAGACAAAAGGGTGACCACATGACTTCCAAGATTTATTCTTGTCATACTTCTCTTTGTCCTTAGAAGCAAGTTTACTAAAACAAATCTGCCTGTAGGATTTTGGCTCTATTTTTGACTTTCCCCCCACTTTTCACTTTTGCTTTCAGGCAGTGCTTTATATTTTTCATGTACAACTGTCTACATTTATTCAGATACAGTCATGTCATCTTCTGGTTGCTGCACAAGGGTGGAGGGCGGGGTTTCACTTCACTGGGGCTTATTTTGGGGGTAGGGCTTCTATGACGAGCATCCTGAAAAATCCTACTGGGGCTTATTTTCAGGTTAGGTCTTATTTTAGGGGAAACAGGGTAAAATAGGCCCACTAAATCAATGGAATGTACATAGGTACTGGCTCAACAAATTTCCACTCAGTTTTGGGTGTATTCTAGTTGTGATGTACTACTCAATTTCAGCCATTGAGGCTTTTCTTCTTTTTCAGCTACAGGAATAGTCTTTTTGCTCATTCCACACTTCTTCTGGTCCATTGTCAGTTGTGTCTGTCAATGCAAATCTGATATTTGCATGGACTTTACAATCACCAGAAATATTACTCAAATTATAGTTTGGTGCTATGATTGTTTTAGTGCTATTTTTCAGCTTTATTCTTGTTTTGATAGTAACTATTTATGGTCTGTATTGCAGTACTCTCCTGATATTGTCTTTGCAGGGAGAATGTAGCTTCTCCATCTTCTGCATCCAGTTATACAGTCTATTTAATTGATACATTGGTATCCATTGTCGACTATGGGTACAATAATCCATAAGGTTCCTGAAATACATTTGTTGGCTCTGGAGAATAATACTTCAGTATCTTTCGTTACAGCACAAAAATTAAATGATGGTTATGTTGATAGCCTTCCCATGAAGTCTGATAGGCATTATTTTATGAGACTTTGCTTTATTTCCCCTTTCTGCTAAGCTTTGCCTCATTATTAGAGCCGCAATGTTTCTTTTGGTTGTGTTGTGTCATTTCCTTAGTAATTTGTTTTTTTACAATTGCCTGGTTGAAAATATTGCATTGAAAATGTCCACATTTTCCTTCCTGGATGACCACATTAAGCCGGTGAGTGAGTCTGACTCAAGTGACTTCGAAATAATTTCACAAATAATAATGTCATGGTAATTCTTATAGCGCGCAAAATGCTATTTTTATACCATTTTGCCAAATCTGTCTGATGAAAATTAGGGAGAAGTGCCTTTTCCTCCACCTCTCGCCACTAGTGGGCTCAGCCCGACGTGACACCCTGCCCGAAGCAATTCCAAAATGGGCGTATTTTCTTTGTGCTCCGAGAACCTCCTCATTAGGAGCTTTGCCTGGGAAAATCGATTCCAAGTAGATTTTAAAAGGAGGCAAATTACTCCCATCAGTTTTCAGTGGCACATCTTTTTGTTTCCTCGTTCAAGGAGGTTATGAATGAGGGGCCATGCCTTTTTAAAAACCACAATGCCAAGAAATGTACATTTGAGTCGAGTCTGGGAAATTTGGTTCGGTCGCGTGGCTTAACACACGTGCAAACCCATGGAGCGTTATTATCAGCGAGCTAAGAGAGAAAGGGATTCAGGCCAGACAGGGCACGTGACGTGGCCTAACCAAAACCTGGAGCAACAGAAAAGGGTGTGGGGCCATCCCTGATCAACCCCTCCTGTATTCGTACCTTGGGCGATATCGTCGAAAGTGTTCTGATTCACCATCCGCTCCACGATCTTTGTTGCCTTTGCGACCTTGGTCACATCGTCACTCTGTTGGAAAACAAACGCATACGTCAAAATACTGTCACACCTCTAAGCTGCTGGAGGAAGAGGAGAGAGGAAGGGGGTCTCTGCAACAGGACCCCACGGGAGTTCCTGCATCCCTTTGGACACCATTGGGGGCTGTATGGTTAGGGCACCACTCACATGACGAGGACAGCGATCTTCGAGAGAGATCCAAGGGGTCAATATATTTGCATACCCAAGGGCACATGCCAAGCACCATCTGGAGGGACACCTTCTCCTCTGCGCTTTACTCAGAACAAAGGCTCCTTGCAAATCAACGTCCACGTTCCTGGACAGTTTAAACCCCACAGCTACCTGATGCCCAATTCTTAGCTTCACAGAATAAAAATGGAGATTAAACTCACTGGCCCTTCCAAGATTTTTATTCCTAACTCTCCATACTTAATAAATGGAAAAGATTTCCGAATCATGTTTTCTTTAAAGTTGGGATCACTAGAGGCTTTGGCATGAGGTAAATATCTCAGATCTGAGTGATAGGAAGTTTTTCAAGACGTCTACAAGCTATCATTTAGTTTGCTATGGATTTAAAAAAAACCTATTACGTCTTACTCTGTGCTTTGGATCAGTGCAGAGTGAAACCGATTCAGTTCCACCACCATCACTGAATTCCCAGGAAAGGTACAACTTTTTAGCACCTTAATATAATCCAGGCAAACCTCTATTCATGAAAAGTAATTCTATTATTACACACCATTATAACATATGACAGAATACTGTGTGTTGATGCAATTGAGCTTTATTGGGTTTAGGGTGTCACCAAGCTAATGTTTCAAAGGTGTGTTGGCTGGTGTGTGAAACATGCAGATACCACTCAAAAACAGAGACAGTACACGCCATGATTCTCAAATATTATTTACATCTCTATTTAGATTTGGATAACCAGTGCGATGTAGTGGATGGAGTGACAGACTAAAAGGAGGCCTGGATTCGAATCCCTGTTCAGCCATGGAAATACCCTGGGGGGGATGGCTCTGGTAAAGCCACTCCTTAAGTCTCTCACTTACCTTGAAAGATCTGTTAGGGCTCCTATAAGTCAGCTTTGACTTGATGGCACATAACACATGCACAAATACAAATTTAGAATTGATAGACTGAGATGTTTATGACAAATCTATTAAAATATATTTAATTGGGCTTTGATCCATCATAATGACAGTGGTGACTACGATGAGGATGACAGAATCGACTTTCTGCTCTACTCTACTGTTCAGACGATGTTTTTGGAACTAGCTTCCGGTCCGCTTCTTAGAAAAACCCATACCCCCTCTCGTTTCATCGCCTGCAATTCACAAGTATACCAGGGAGCTGTCTGGGCTCGGCGAGCAGGGAGAGGGCGCTTAGGTGCAATCGTGTCAGCCGCCTGGGTCATCTCCCTATTCCAGAGGGTGACCTGAGCTTCGACAGGAGCGCCGACCATATCAGATGGATAATCCCCAGAGCATTCAGGAATCCATCTGGATCCATGAGTCTCCGAGGGCGGATCATCTTAATAGATCCCCCACCTTTGCAGAGGGGAGAAGAAGCTAATAGACTAAACTTGACCAGGAAGTGGTCTGACCATGACAATGGGGTCACAAACAGCCCTTCCACATCCAAACCACCATCTTCCAGTCCCGTTGAGAAAACCAGGTCCAAGGTATGGCCCTTCTCATGCGTCGGGCCGATGACACGTTGAGACAGCCCCATGGTTGTCCTGGCGGCCATGAAGTCCTGAGCCGCCCCAGTCAAGGCAGCCTCGGTATGGATGTTGAGGTCCCCCAGCACCAACAGCCTGGGAGTCCTCAACACCAGGTCCGAGACTACCTCTGTCAGCTCAGGCAGGGAGACTGTTGGTACACCAACAGAATCCCTAATCTGTCTCGTGAGCCCAACACACAATACAGGCCCTCGAGCCCTCCTCTCAAAGGGATAGGAAGCCTGGTCAAGGAGATACAATTCCTATAGACTATAGCAACTCCCCCTCCCCGACCCTCCGAGCGCCATGGATGCTGGTCCGAGTACCCAGGCGGACACAGCTGGGAGAGGGGGACACCACCCTCCTCTCCCACCCAGGTCTCAGTAATGCATTAGCACCCTAAGTTCATTGGGATACTCCAGCTGTGCAGAAACCCCGGCATGAAGGACACAGAAGTGATCTCCCAGCTCTGACTCAGCTCCCCACCCCTTTTCCAGGTGTGATTTATTCAGCGGCTTGTTGAAATGAAACACCGAGGAAGCGATGTGAGAAATTTATTTCCTTTGGAGATCTGCTTAGCCAGTGTGGTCCTAGTGCAGTGGTCCCCAATCTTGGGTAACCCAGATGTTCTTGGACTTCAACTCCCGGAAATCCTGGCCAACAGAGGTGGTGGTGGTCAAGGCTTCTGGGAGTTGTAGTCCAAGGACATCTGGATGGCCCAAGGTTGGGGACCCCTGGTCTAGTGGACAGAATGGGAACAGAGTTCTAATCCCCGCTCAGCCATGGAAACTCACTGGGGAAGTGGAAGTGGTCCTTAAACATCTCCCTCACCTTAAAAGCCCCGTTAGGCTCGCTAGCGGTCGGTTTTGACTTGATGGCGCAGAACAACAAAAAGATCTGTCTGGAATCGATGTTCACAGCTAATTAGGAGGCTCTCTGAGTACAAGGAGAGTCTTGCCAGCACACTAATCCCTTCTTTCTGTTTCCTTTTTGCAAAAAGCCACAGTATTTTATACAACACCAGTCACATTAATAGGAGCATGCATTAGGACTGCATAATGGGCCAGATCTAGGAAAGGAAATGTTGTGAGCCAGGCATGATATTTATTTTTCTCTGCAAAATGGCATATTTTTCTTGGGGCAGACATCCCCTGGCAGCATCGTGCTCTTGTTCCCTTGCCTTCCTGGTCTCATTTAATTAAGCCCCAAACAAAGAGAATCTTGCCATCAATAATATTCTCTGGGGAAGGAGCTCTGGGAAGCCAGAACAAAAACAGGCGACACGGCCAATAACAGAGGTGATACAGCCCAGAAACGGAACAGGGAGGTTCCATAAACCTTGTTGCTGTCATTTATTTATTTCAAATGTTTTTATCCAACCTTTCTTCTTACCAAGAACCCAAGGTGACCTACATAATTAAAAGGATGATATGTAGAAGAAGCTAAAAACCATAGGTATAGAAATATTTTTAAAAAGTCAATCAAGTACTACATTAAAAACAGTAATAAAATCAATACTAAAACATGTTGAAAACAACAGAGCAGAACAATACATTTAAAAACCCCTCAGTCCAGCAGTTATTAAGGGAAAGCCTGCCTAAAGAGAAAGGTGTATTTGCCTGCTTGCAGGACAGCAAAGGTGGGGCCAGCCTGGCCTCTTGTGGGAGGGAGTTCCAGAGTCTCTGGGAGCAGCCACAGAGAAGGCCCTTTCGCATGGCAGTGTTACCAACACCAGTGTAACCTCTATGGATGTGGAAATGGTGTAGGGGTCACCCACGGACCAAGGGAGGTTCAGTAGGACTCTAGAGTGGCCCTGAATCTGCTGGTATGCATGCGGTTGTGCCTTTCAGAGTAGACCTCTTGGTATCCATATTACCTGTTCCACCACCGCCTTTTAAAAATTATTTTAGTTAATTCTATGTTGCTTTTTGTGTGTGCAGACGGATATGTTTCTTTATGTTCAGTGTAGTTCTAAAGTGTAGTATGCTGTTTTATTATGTTGTGAACCGCCCAGAGTAGTCCCGTAGCCAAATGGGTAGTTAGAAGTTGACAGACAGACAAACAGATAGATCGACAGATAGATTTCAAGAGACCCTTGTCCTGCAGGCCGAGGCCAAGAGGCCATCCCGAATGTGTGCAGACGGATATGTTTCTTTATGTTCAGTGTAGTTCTAAAGTGTAGTATGCTGTTTTATTATGTTGTGAACCGCCCAGAGTAGTCCCGTAGCCAAATGGGTAGTTAGAAGTTGACAGACAGACAAACAGATAGATCGACAGATAGATTTCAAGAGACCCTTGTCCTGCAGGCCGAGGCCAAGAGGCCATCCCGAAAGCAGCAAAATCAGGGAGCTGGACAGGGGACAGACTGGATTTGTCCTCAGTGTGGAAGGGATTTTCACTCTCGAATTGGCCTTCTCAGCCACACTAGATGCTGTTCCAAGTCCTCCATACAGAGTATGTTACTATGGTCTCTTGAGACTGAAGGATGCCTACTAGTAGGTAGGTAGGTAGGTAGGTAGGTAGGTAGGTAGGTAGGTAGGTAGGTAGGTAGGTAGGTAGGTAGGTAGGTAGGTAAGGAAGGAAGGAAGGAAGGAAGGAAGGAAGGAAGGAAGGAAGGAAGGAAGGAAGGGCAGGCAGGCAGGCAGGCAGGCAGGCAGGCAGGCAGGCTTCCCAGTAGCTACAACCATGTTCTGCTCCCTTGGGGTTCAGATCCTAGATGTGTTACCCTACATGAGTGAATTGCCGATGGAGGAGGTGGGGCTTTGTTGCGGTGCTGCCAGTAGCTTCAGAGAAGAACTCTCTGGAAGAACTGGAACGCATCCGGTCCGGGATCCCCTTTTTGAAATGGGAATAAAAGGAGAGTCTAGGAGAATTCTCTCTGCAGCAGATGGTGAGCAGCAGAAGAAGAATCGGAGGCAAACCCGGACTTCTTCCCTCTGAAGAAATCACCCAGCATGAATCAGAGGCGGGGAGCCATATTTGGCACTGAGCCGTGAGTAACCCTTTACCGGGGGAGAAGAGAACAACCAATATAAGCTTAAAATATATAACAACTAAATAAGCTGAAGCCTTTGATTTATGAAACAGCCCCATTAAGCTGAAAATAAGAATGAAAATATTTGGCTGAAAGAAGAAAAGCAGCAGCTAGCCTATCTTATCAGTCTGCCTCAAAAGTGAAACTAACTCTTAATACTGTACAGTAGCAGGCTGGTTTCAAAGCCGAGAGAGTGAGACGGAAAAATAAATCTTGTGTTTCTGGAAAAGAATCCCAGATGGTAATACCATAGGACAGGATTCAAGAGACTTGAGTTTTGTGAATGCAGTTTGGCTTGGACGCATTTCTCTTTTCTCTTTCCTGGATTCTCTGAATCTCTTTGATAATAGAATCTGGTGGTTTTCTGGAGAAGAAAGAAGGAGCTGACGTGGTCGACTGGACTGAGGAGTATCAATAGAAACATCATAAGACAGGCTTCAAGGACAATTACTGGACAGTCTGAGACTCTGTGATTATTGTTTTGGTTTGTTGGACTGTATGTGAGTCTGATAATAGTAGTTTGCTAGACTCGGGAGAAGAAGAAATAATTGTGCCATGGTTCTATTTGAATTTGAATTTGCTGGGTTAAAAGCTGATTTTTATAATATTTGGATAAAGACTGGTGGGAGATCTAAGGGGAGGTTTATGATTAGGGGTTTGGATTGTTGATAAAATTGTGGAAACTGTTGAAGGATATCTAAGGGGCGATCATTGTGGTTAAGGACATAGTATCATCTATACAAACCCCACTTATTTGAAAGCCTGAGATGGCCCCCCAAAATTTAAGACATCAAATGGAGACTTGGTCTGTGCAAGCTCAAAGTTTTGGAATAGTTGTACAAGAAATAGAAAAGGAATGGCAGATTACTATGCAAAAGACAATAATAACAGGGTTTCAGCGAGTGAATGAAGGTCTTAGCAAAACAGAAGATCTGATGAAAGTAATGAAAGAGGGGACATTAGATGCCAAACAACAGTTAAATGAAGTTCCACAAACTTCAGAACCGACTTTATTGGGCATGACACCAGGTAACATAGATGGGATAAAGAGTCATCCAGTGACCTATGCAGCTTCCAAAATTAAAAAGCAATATGTTAAAAATCTCAAGAAAGGAGAGATACTGAAACAAGAGAAACGACAAAAATGGATATCCTGTCAGATGGGCTGAAAGAATGTTCAATTTAAAAGAAAACTGAACGATGGGATGTATTGTATAAATGGCTGCAGTTACCAGATAGTGTTGGAGTAACATAGAATTAAACTAAAATTAAATGATAAGATGAAAGCAGGAGGGTAATCAAATTGTGAAAAAGCAAAAAGTTGATTTGTTATTGTAATATGAATTGATCGGATGATGGTATACTCTGTGTTCTCCTATCCCCCTAACCTTTTTTCCCTTTTCCCTATTCCCCCTTACTTTTTGTATACCCTACCCTATCCTTAAATAAATATTCCCCCCAAAAAAGTGAATTGCTGGTGGAATCTCAGTTCTGGAAAATTTAATAACTAACATGGCTAAGGAGGGACAATTTATTTCTGGGATAAATATTCCATCCCTGATATCTTGAGAGAGAGAAAGAAGATGGGTGAGATCTTTACTTCCGGAACTGTCACAGGTCATCAGTGGGGGAATCCGGCCACCCCACTCTCCAACCCGGTTGTCCTCTTGGGCTCTGAACGACCCAATGGGGAGAAGAGGAGGAGGAGGAGTTGGAAGAGGCTGACCCGAAGGTCCGTTCGGACATCCTTCTTTTGCTGGAATTCACAGCAGCGAATCATCAGGAGGCCAAAGCAAGAGGCCGAGGCTGACAGCCAATATGCCGATTTGAGGGTTGATGTGGGAACTAATGAAGTAGAGAGAGAGAGAGAAGGCTATCACGAATCCCCCCTAGAGTAATTTCTCTTCCCTTCTAATTATCTCTTTCCTTCTGAGCCAATAATAACAACAGAAACCTCCTGGGGAGAAGGACTGCCCTCAGATTCCCCCACTGAAACTTAGTCCCAACTGAGGTGACAGAATACAGTACTGCCTCTCTGCTTGAGAGAGAATGTTTTTCACAAGCAGCATGGAATCATGTTGACTGGTCAGTCAGGCAAGGGATTTGGGCCTGATCCACCACCACGGGCTATCTGTGCTTTCAAAACAAAAGCAGTCTAATCAACAGCTGGATCTAGTGAACCATTCTTTCCCCACTTGTAAAATCAATCGAAACCTGCCTTTTAAAAAAGCATCCTTGTTATCAAACCTGTGTCCATTCTCATCGAGTCATCTGTTGGATCCTAGCCCTTTCCTGGCACACACATACAAATGAAGGGGAGTCTGCGGAATGGGAAACGGGTGCAGGAAATGACCAAGTGTACAGGATGCACAATGAAACGCCCACCAGCCGACGGCTTTTACACTCCACATTAAGTCTGGACATTCCGACCTATACCTCCGTATATGCACAGGTGTACACACACACACACACACACACACACACACACACACACACACACACAGAGGGGGTCTCTCATAAAAGGTTTCTGCACTCAGTGGCTAACAATCTTCAGAAGCCACGGAAGCCACAAAAGGTCCAGAATGGAGCAGCCCAGTTAATTTTAGGGCTGGAAGGCTTGATCATGATTTCCTGATCCTGGCTTATCGGCACTGGCTCCTCTGTGTCAGAGCTAAGGTGTTAGTTATGACTGATAAAGTCCTAAATGGTTTGGGACCTCTTTATCTATCGGAGCACTTTCTCCCCAAGAGTGTCCACCCATCCGATCGACTCCTCTCAGGCCGCGCGACTGAGGGCGCCCACCCCAAGGGAAAGAAAGAAAAAACAAATACCAAGAATCGGGCTTTTTCAGCAGTGGCATCCTCGTTATGGAGCAAACGTCCATCCGAAATTAGACCACCCCCCATGGATCTTTAGAAGATTATTGAAGGCAGAACTATTTAAGGAAGCCCTTCACAACATCTTCAGCTAGTCTGTGAGACCCATGTGCTCAATTTCTAACTATGGGTACTGATTGTTTTTATTATACTGGTATATATTTTGTTCATTATGTTATGTTTCATATACTTGGGTTTGATTTAATTGAGCAGGCATCACCCTTAGGTTGCCTTTTCTGTTTTATGTTGTGGTGTTATGCTTTCCGAGTTCTCTTTTATCATTTTAGTTGGTTCTATGCCTTGCCTAACTCTGTAAAATGTCCCAAGTAATGTTCTTACAAAGTTGGACCACCTATAAACTTTTGGATAAATAATAAATTAAGTCTATATTTGAGCAGCTATTTACCACAGGCAAACATCAGCTTTCACCTTAGCATAATTTCTCTGACCATATATATATATACTGCAGTTTCATGCACAGCATGTGTCAGAGTTCAGTCACTGCCTGAATGGGAGATTGTCAGAGAAGGGTGGGAAGAAATTGGAATCTGGCTACCTAAGGATCGCCTGTTCATTACGACAGGGCCCCCAAATCCCTTCCTTCCTTCCATCTTGGAGAGCAGCATCCTTTCCAAAGCACCTCACCCTCCTCCAAATTTTTTCTTACAAAAACTGGAGCAGGGTTACAGCCAAACAAACAAACAAACAAAAACTGTGCCTTTTCACAATCATTTTTAATTGGGGTGCAGGAGCCCCCTCAAAACCTGGCAAAAATGGCCCCTTAACGTTGGCTTTCTGAGCTCAATCTCTTTTGCAAAGAATATTTTTTAAAAAAAAAATAGTCTGTGTGTGCGCATGCGTGCATGGACGTGTTAGTGGGTCGGGGTGCTGCAGGGTGGTGTTTGGGCCTTGAGATGTGGCGCATGCAGTCTACAGACTCCATCCTGCCTACCTTTAATCTACAAACCCCAATTTCCAAGTCACCACAGTGTTTCACATCATAGAGAAACACTGGCTGAAACCCTGTTGCTTAACCTAGTAACGTGCTTGAGAAAAGGCCCACTGCATTTGCTGAGTCAAGTCCTCTGTAGGTTCCATTGATTCAGGTGGGCTTACTCTGGTTACAACTTACTATGATTCAGCAATAGGATTTCAGCCATGCTGTTGCTGAGTTGCAAAGGGTTAGAGGCAAAGCAAGCCAGCCCCTCCTCAGACATGCCCGGCCGGCTGCAAGAGGCTTCCTCCGTGCTTCCTGCTCATTCCAAGGGAGCCTAAGTGATAGAGTGGTGGAACATGGGTGCAGGTGCTCCAAAGAGAAGAAGATGCTGCTGGAGTTTTGGCAGTGTGGCAAAACATGAGGCAGCCTGGATCTATAAAGGAGGACAGAAACGGCTTCCTTTACAGAGGTCCTGGGGTTGGGGAGACCCTGTATTTATTGCAGGAAAGGGATACAGAAAAGTGACCAGAAGTGGAGTTTGTATCACAACCAGAGCCTCGTGGCTCACGAAAAACCACTGTTGGTGATGGCGATATTGTGCGCTAGCAAGACAGAACCAACTTATCGTGACCCTAGTGGGGCTTTCAAGGTCAGTGAGATATTTAAGGAGTGGTTGAGTCAGGATTCGAACCCAGGCCTCTTGAGTCCTAACCGGTCACACTGTCCACTACACCACATTGGGTACCTTCTTTCAAGACTAACGGGTTTTATTTGGCATACAGTCTTCCGGAGTCAAGTCACACTGTCCACTACAATGGAACCTACATTGGGTACCTTCTTTCAAGACTAACAGGTTTTATTTGGCATACAGTCTTCCGGAGTCTAATCCACTTCGTCATATGTCGTTTTAGCTAAGACCGATTAACATGGCGGCTGCTGCCCATCCCAAATTTCAGAGGCAGATTCAGGAGGCCAGAGGATCTGAGATGCTCTCTCATGTCATCTCGGGCTTGGGAAGGAGACCAGAACTGCTGAGTGGACCTCTACAGAACTAAAACATTTGGAGGCTTGGGTCCATCTAACCAGTGACGAGCCCCTGGAAACCTTCTGTGTGCTGTAGACAAAGGAGTGTGAGTGTTTGTGTGTGTGTGTGTGTGTGTCTATTATTTCTTTAGCAGGGCTTTGAACACACCGAGACCTTAAGCCTGCAGAGCTCTGTGATGGAGCCTCGTCAAAAGCAACCACAGGAACAGGGACCAATTTAACTTCACCCATAATTGGAGTGAAGGTGTATACAGATGTCTCGAGGAAACAGGGCTGCAATTATGGCACAGAACACAGTTGTAAATTATCGACAACATGCATGACAGCAGCACCTGAGATTCCAGAGAAGTTAATTTTCTGCCCCTCATCTGGTCTTCCTTTTTTGCCACTGGAGCTTTTTGTTTTTCCTTCTCTTTTGACTTTTCTAGTTTCTGGAGTTCTTCCACATAAGCATCATAGATTTCCCACTAAATCAGAGAGAGAGAGAGAGAGAGAGATAATGCAGGGTCTTAGATGTCGTGTCCTGGAACTAAAGCCAAGAGGATACTAACTGGTCAAAACGCAAGGCAAATATTATGCATTAAACCAGGCTTGTCCAACCTGTGGCCCGTGGCCGCATGCGGCTCAGGTCGGCTCATAATGCAGCCCAGTGCAATTTTTTATTTTTAAAGAAATTCCAAAGTCTCAAGTTACTCTGCTGGCGCTTGCGGCCGGAATGCGGCCGGGGCGCGTCACAACAGTAGGGGGGAGAGAGGGAAGGAAGGAGCGGGAGGGGAAGGGAGAGGGGGGCTGCATGACTGCATTGCGCCATCTCCATCAATAGGTGGCCCCCCTCCCAGCCCCATAAAGCCACCGGAGTCGAAGCTGGCAGCCTCTGCTGTCTGAGATCGCAGCTGCCGGTAAGCGCACTTGGAGCGGGGCTGCGGAGGACGGCTAGGGCTGCCCCCCATGCGGCCCAAACCAAATTTATGTGCAGCCCAAGCCAAATTTTCATCTTCTAATGTGGCCCAGGGAAGGTGAAAGGTTGGACACCCCTGCTTTAAACATTCCTCAGTTCATACGCACATATCAGAAAAGGACAGAAGAAGGGTGCATGCATAAAAAGAAACACTCATCCAGGATCAGGGCTTGGCCATTGGCACCTTGTGGACACAGGCAAGAATAAAAAACAAGCCCCAGAGTCAAACTAGACATTAAGGACAAAGCGTATTTCCTATAATTAAACTGCTTTCCTAACCCCAGAATAAAAATTTTTCAGAGGTATGCGACTCAGCATCAGATATGCAATTTAAGCCTGTGTTTACCTTCTATGACCAATCACAGAAAAGCATGTGAAACACAAGAGATAGAGATGCTACGCTAAACTCAAGCTGCATGTTTATTCCTATCTTGACAAGGATTATTTATTTATTTATTTATTTATTTATTTATTTATTTATTTATTTATTTGTTTGTTTGTTTGTTTGTTTGTTTGTTTGTTTATTTATTTATTTATTTATTTATTTATTTATTTATTTATTTATTTATTTAGTATATCACTCATCTTAGTGGTTCCCAACATAATATAATACACAAGCCCAATAACCCAGCCCCCCCGCTACTCAATCCACACTCATATAAAAGCAACCCCCACAAAACCTCAAGATGATGAGGACAGTGGTCCAGAAACAAGATCAACATCTAACTCAAATGATGGCAGTTATAAGGGGAGGATCTCCTGAAAGCCTTCGCTAAAAAAGCAATGGTTGTACTGTATATGCTTTCCGAATATTCGGAGTGAAGGGGCCCAGCGCAGCTCCAACGGCAACATATTGCACACAGAGATGATCCTCCCTGAGAAAGTCCACTTCCTCATCGTAGACATCCTGGCCTCCCTCGGGGGGTTGTATGTTGCACTCTGTTGCTCAGGAGTGCCTCAGAGGGGGAGATGTCAACCTCATTGCGTACGACAGACATAGGTAAAACATAGTGAAGAGGAACCGGAGCATCTCTGGAGAGGAATACAGCCATGCTGGGCCCCTGAGAAGACAAAAGGAGCATTTCCTCCCTGCAGAAATCTGATCCAGAGTACAATTCAGGATGGTCCTGGTTCAAATTTAGAAGGGTGGAAGGGGAGGAGGAGGAGGAAGAGAGAGGGAAGCAGCTAGTGTAACTATTATTCCATACTCTTGGAATGTAAGTGGACCAATGAGAGGTGGAATTCTGTTCTCCATCCAAAATCTGATTTAACAAGTGGCTCTTCCGGATCACTCACACTGTGCCATCATCACACTCCGAGACACATTCTGCCAGCTGGAGCGATGTCATTGTTTCACCGCTCCAATGGGAAAGAGAGGGGTCTGATTAAGGGCAATTTGGGTATAATAAAGATTCTTTCTCTCCCCCATGCCAACAATGGAGAGGAGATGAACCCCCACGCTTTGTTTTCTGTACTGCTCTTCAACAGGCAAATCAGCGGTAATTGCAACAACTGTCAAAAAGACAAGGAAAAATAGATCGATTCTACTGCTAAGCAACAACCATTTTAGAAAATGAACAAAACCCCTGACAGCGTGGCTGCGGGCTTTAGAACCAAAGACTGATGCCCCATGCTCACTTGCCTGGAAGTAGAACTGCAGAACAGTAGACCTGGAAGGGGCCCCGAGGGACAACTGGGTCCGACCCCTTGCTCCGTGCAGGAAATCTACAGTTAAAGGATTCCTGGCAGGTGGTCATCTAACCTCTGTTGGGAAACCTCCAGGGAAGGAGAGCCCACCCCCCTCCGAGGCAGTCCATTCCTCCGTTGAACAGCTCCTACGGTTGGGAGCTTCTTCCTAATGTTGAGGTGGAATCTCCTCTCTCAGCATTTGGATCCGGTGCCTCAGGTCCTGCCCTCTGGGGCTACAGAAAATAAGCTCGGTCCGTTTTGTGTGGGACAGTCCTCCAAATATTTAAAGATGGCCATCCAATCACCTCCCAGTCTCCTCTACTCCATGGGAAACATGTTTAATTCCCTCAGCTGATCCTCGAGGGGCTTGGTTGCCAGACCTTTGGCTGTTCTCATCTCCCTCCTCTGGATATGTTCCAGTTTATCAGGTATCCTCAAACTGTGGTGCTCAGCACTGGACACAGGATTCCAGGTGAAGTCTGACCAAAGCAGAAGAGAGTGGTACTATTCCTTCTCTTGATTTTGACCCCCTTGGTTGATGTAACCAAGTCTTGCCTTTGCTCCTCTTATATGTCACTTGTGATCTACGAAGACTTTCAGGGATTATGTACAGCCAAACTAGCCGTAACTCCCATGAAACTCATTTCTGAGTTGAGACGGACAAGATTGCTGTCAGGCACCTCTATAATCCACATTCAGGGGATGAGTGGGTAATTAACCTTTCAAAAAATCCACCACTGCATGTGGAGTGGGGTTCCCATGTTGCCTGGCATTTCTCAGAAGCTTCTCGGGAGAAACACAGGCGCGCACACAAATTGTTAGGGGATCAGACACCCGGATCCCCTGGGCATGCCGACTAGGAACACAGATGACTCAAGGAGGAGCATTTACCTGGTTGGCAGTAGCGGAGAAGGTCGCTCTCGGAGGGGGCTCCATCTGGCATGCCCTGTCCTGGAAGAAAGGAACAGTCAAGCAGGACCCATGGGACTAAGTTCTCAGTACGGAATATATTTTTTTAAAGCTGCTTTAAAACCACCCAATGCAGGAATGTTAAAAGAAAAAAAAATCCACTAACTCCTTGTAAAGCTGTGGAATGGTGGGTCTGTTTCCTATCAATACAGCTAATTGTATGTGTAACCAGAGCTGACTTGTTGATGAGATAATCTCAGATTTGCAAGTCCAGGGCAGAAAAACTACACTTTGATGGCCATCTAGAACTTGAAGGACTGCCGCTTAAAAATGATAAGAGTTAGTTTCAGAAGAACGGGACATGGTGGCGCTGCGGGTTAAACCGCAGAAGCCTCTGTGTTGCAAGGTCAGAAGACCAGCCATCGTAAGATCGAATCCACGCGACGAAGTGAGCTCCCGTCGCTTGTCCCAGCTCCTGCCGACCTAGCCATTGGAAAGCATGTAAAAATGCAAATAGATAAATAGTTACCACGTCCGTGGGAAGGTAACGGCATTCTGTGTCTAGTCACGCTGGCCACGTGACCACGGAAACTGTCTTCGGACAAACGCTGGCTCTATGGCTTGGAAACGGGGATGAGCACTGTGCCCTAGAGCCGGACACGACTGGCCTAAATGTCAAGGGGAACCTTTACCTTTACTTTTACTCTCATGTATTACTCGATCATTTTACTAGCAACTTCCCTGTGGGGAAGAAGGGGGAAGGTACAAGGGACACAACCCTGTTATCTCAAATGTGGTGTGTACACTTTCACAGCCTGGAAGGTCAGAAGCTCCTTTCAACTTAAGTGTTCTTTATTTGCGAAGAGCCTCTGTGTTCGTGGGAAAAACAGGTGCAGAGGATCAACGGAGGAAACTGCAAACAGAACCAATCTGTCTCTCCCAAGCACCCTGAGTACTTTAATTTACTGTGTGGGTTGATTCCAGGGTCCATAGAAAACCCCACGTGGATGGACCTTTCCTCTCCGGTGCTGAGAGTCAAAGGCGAAAAGAGAAAGCAACCTCTTTTATACCCATCAATTATCAACATGGACCACAGACAGCTGTTCCATCCAAAGACATGCCAGAAGGACTTCTGGGAGTCTCAAGGGGGCAGGGAATAACGGCACGCTTACCCTCACAGGGTTGTTGTAGGTCTGTGAGGCTCTCTCACTGAAGTTAAACTGGTTGGTGAGCTTCCGTTCTTGCACCGGCCGGGCACGAGGTTGCTCATCCTGGTCTTTTTCTTCTGGGGCTTCAGCCTGAAGCAGGAAGAAGCAAGGTGGAACTCATGAGATGGGCATGGGGCATCTCTTGCAGGCTAGCTGTGGCGCCTGCTATCTCGCAGAGCAGCAAAACCAGACACGGACTGAGGGGCTGAAGCCAAGTGGTAAAACATACCTGCATTTTTCTGTGTATAGGACGCCCCCATGTATAAGACTCCCCCCCACTTTTCTAACCCAAAATTAAGAAATCTAAGTGGCGCTTAGCAAGTGCAGGGGAAAAGGGATCAAAGCACTTGTTTTGTTCTCTCCTCAGCTTACTTCCGTGTATAAGACAACCCTCAATTTTTAGTCTAAAGATTTTAGACAGAAGTATAGTCTTATACACAGAAAAATACGGTATATGTTTCCATCCTGGAAGGATAAAACAAGATCCTACGAAAGACTCAAATTCAATGGGATCTTCTTGCTTAGCTGATTGAGGTATGGCACGGTTGTGTTGTTCCTCCATATCAGCTCAGTGGCCATTCCTGTGTTTGAGCCAGCTGGCTAGATCTCTCATGTGGTATGAGAAAGGAAATGGCCTGCCAGGCTCTACCCTTCATATCCTAGAACTCAAGGCCCTTGGCATTTCCTGGGAGTATCCCACAGTGAGCAAGTATAAAAGCAGACTATTTTACCAAGAGTCATCCGCCCTCAACCAGAACAAAACACAGAATCTCCTAACTGAAACAGGTACACGCCAACATATTGTCCGTTGATCGGTTGCCATGAAACGTTACCAGCTGCTCGGTCTTTTCCTCTCCTTCTACTGCGCCCTCCACTTCCTCCTCTGCCTCCCCTTCTGCTTCCTCCTCTTCTTTTAGTTCTGCATCCATGGCCTCAAAGTCGACAACAACGGAAGAAATAGGAGCCACCGCTAAGAACAAACACGGACCAGAAGTGGGATTGGGAACAAAAAGGAAGAGTTAAGGGGGAACATTCACTTTGCACAACACGGGCTGTCTTTCCTGTCTTTCCTCTCTCTCTCTCTCTCTCTCTCTCTTGACCAAAAAACCCCCAAAAAACTGAAAAGCACAAGGGACACTATGCCAGAAAGTGCTTCTGGTGTTTGCTTGACTGAATAAAAGCACCTGTGGGGAACTCTTGGACTGGGCAGTGCCCATTTTGATCTCAGGTATACATTCGAGCCGCATTCTCATTTTGCAGAATGTTTTCAGCTCATCAGTTACAAGCAGTGTCGCTGTCAATGGCATCTGAATGGCTCCCTCTTACAACAGGAGCAGTTAAACAACCCGCTAGTTTGCTGAGCATGTTGGCGAGTATTGGGTACAGCTTTCTTTCTGGTCTGTTTCTCCCCCGACGAAGCAAGGAAACAGACCTAGAGCAAACCCCGGGTCCTTTCTTTGATCTGTTGGGAGAAGCACAAACCGGACAACATTCCTGTCCATGCAAAGCAGACAATGGAAGAAAACTAAGGAAACCACAGGACAAAGCAGGAGTCCTTGCATCAGCACTCTGCTCATGAACTAATAAGGGACCATTCCTGCACACCCCTCCCGTAGGGTGTCATCCAGACCAGGCCTATTTGAGGATAACTGAAGTTGCCCGTTGCTATTATCCTTCCTTTCCTTGATCACCGAAGGTTCTGTTCTCTCAAGCTCCTTATGGATCTCTGGCCTAAAAAAGGCTGACTTTGCCGAATTTGCTAGTCATCTCTTTATTACGACGGATGCACAGATTTTCACACTTCCCATCTTCGAGATGCAGGGAAGCCTTTCCTCCAGCAAGCACACAAACAGGCCATGCGGTTTTCCCATCTCTTGCTTAAGGACTTGCTCTCTGCCCTCTCAGGAAACCTACCAGCAATCTGGCTCTGGCGCAAGCTCTGCCTCCGACCTTCATCCGAATCTTTGAAGATCAGGTTCCCACAAAGGGAGAAATGGACCGCCATCTGCTCCACCGCTGTGGTTTGCTTATAGGCTCTCTCCTGTGAGAAGGAGGGGGGGGAGAGAAAGAGAGACAAATGCTGAGCCACTATTTCTTCTGTTTAAGAATGGGACAGTTGTTTTACGGACTGCTCACCCATATTTGCTAACAGACAAAGAGCCTGCCCACACTGGTAAATAGTTAGAACATATGATTCCTTGATAGCACCATTCAGCATGGGGGAGGGGAAGGACCTCATCTTCTTGTGTTTCTACTAATAATGATCCATTCTTCCCCTTTAGGAGCTGGCTGACCTATATCTTTCTAACACAGGGCTAGGGCATGCCATATTTTGGAGACGATTCCTTAAGATGCAAAAGAGCTCTCTGTTCTGTCCTCACAGATGGATACCAAAAGATAAAACCGATTGCATTGAAGATAAGGACCTTTTCAGCATTGGCCAGATCCCACCAAGTGGATAGGCCCCAAGGGTGCCAAGTGAAGGGCAGGAATGCATCAGGTGAGGTGCAGATCTTACAACCTGGGTTCCTTTCCAGCTGGCATACGCCTTATTGCCCATTTGGGAACGGCTGCAGCTCGGCGGGAAAGCACATTTTGCTCTGCAAACAGGACACTCCAGGTTGAATCCTTGGCATCTCCATATGTAGCCGGGAAAGAGCCTTGTCTGAAATTCCAGACAGGTCTGTTCTTCTAGTTAGTGAAGATATTCTAGAGCTAAACAGATCAATGGCCTGAACCAGGGTAAGGCAACATATCCCACTCTTTACAAAACAGGCTTTTGTTACTTCTTGTAAGATGCCGAGGGAAGGACGCTCAGGTCTGGGTCCTCAGAAGGCCTGGTAGAGACAGCCTTGAAGAAAAACGATGCCGTTGAGACTGCCATTCCAGCCTGAAGACAGACAATTGACCTATCAAGCTAGCTCCTGGCCAGTCAGGAAGGTCAAGGGTGGGTCTTTTCCACAGGCAGACCTGAAGGAAGAGGTTCCCAGTCGGGTCCACCAGTGGGGGATATAAAAGCCACAGCAGAGCTAGAGCAGCCATTCTGCTTCAGACCATCTCCTGTCCATCCTGCCTTGGCCTTTCTTTAGGTGTGATGGGCAAGGCTGAAGTGTGGGGCCTTTGGCTGGTTTCCTCTCTCCATCACAGCTCTGTTGGGGCTGGTTTTCAAGTACGAGGAGGAATCAGGGCAAACGGGAGCAGAGTCAGAATGTCTGTAGTAGCACGACAAGGATCCTCATTCATTTCAAACGGGCTCCTTAGAAAAGACGGAGCCCTGAGTTTTCTCCAGAGTAGTTTTACTTGTCTCTCTGCAAATCCTCCCCTAAAAATGTCTACAGGGAACAGTGTTCAGACACCTATGTTGCTGGAATCAGGAGAGCTCCTTCCAGATGGCCTTCCAAAACTTCTACAAGAGGGGACATTGAGGTTATCATCAGCGAGGCGGAGGAGGAGCGAAATGATGGATCTACCCCACTAACCAAGCTCGTCCAACTCATGCCAGACCAGGGAGTGGGAGCAGAGGCTGAGCTTTATACTTGGCAGATCTAAAACAGATTCCAAGTAGACTAGCTAGGTCGGCACAAAGACAGATGTGTGAAGTGCACCTCTGGATCCAGCAGAGTAGCTTTAAGAAGAATCCTAGAATCACAGAGTTGGAAGGGGCCTGTAAGGCCATTCAGTCCAACCCCCGGCTCAAGGCAGGAATCCCAATCCAAGCAGATCTGCCAGGTCGTTGTCTACATTTTTCTTGAATGCCTCCAGTGTCGGAGCACTCACCACCTCTCAAGATCATGGGTTCCATTGTTGTGCTGCTCTAACAGAAGGTTTTTCCTGATAGCCAAAATTCGGCTTCCTGTAACTTGAGCCCATTATGTGTCCTGCAGTCCGGGATGAGTGAGAACAGATCCTGCCCCCCCCCCTCTGTCGGGCAGCCTTTCAAGGATTTGTAGAGTGCTCTCCTATCTCCTCTCCGTCTTCTTCGCTCCAGGCTAAATAGGGCCAGTTCTTTCAGCCTTTCCTCATAAGGCTTGGCTTCCAGTCGCCTGATCCTCCTGGTTGCCCTCCTCGGAACTTGCTCCAATTTGTCTGCATCCTGCTTAAAGTGTGATGCCCAGAATGACACAGGACTCTAGATGAGGCCTAAGCAGTGCCGAACAGAGAGGAATTAGTACCTGAAAGGGTTTGGAGACTAGACTTCTGTAAGAAACTCTGCATAACAGCTGTAATGGCATATCCTTGCATTTGCTTTTCTGCATTGCCACTGTATGCTATGGTTAGGTCTAGTCTTATTTAGTTGTATATAGAAGTAAATTACTCTAAGCCAAAGAAAGGCACTGCTTTAAACATTTAAAATATATTGGCTGAATACTTAAATATTTGACATAATGAGTTAAATTAAAGCTGCCTGTTGGAGAGGAAGTTTTTCGGGCCGGCTCTTGTTTTCGGTACGTTTATTGTTTGAATGCTATCCATTTATGCTTTTGTTTGTTTGTTTGTTTGTTTGTAACTGCCCAGAGTAGAGGCTTGCCACTAGATGGGTGGGGTATGGATGGATGGACGGATGGACGGATGGACGGATGGACGGATGGACGGATGGACGGAAGGAAGGAAGGAAGGAAGGAAGGGAG